ACATGTACTATCTTCGCTAGGTGAAGTTTGAACCAGGGCACATCATAGTTGGGGATTCCCCAAGAGGGGGGGAGGTCGTACTCGCTGTTTCATATATACTATACAGCCCCCCGCCCCTCACCGCGAAAATTTTTCGGGTAGAACTTGGAAAATTTCGGGAAATTCCGGAAAAACCGGTGGGAAGTAGGAAAATCTAGGGAAGTGGTAAGTAGGATGGAGAATAAAGGGTCGAAATTTCCTCGCGGTTTTCCTGTTCCACATGTGCTGCATACCCTCATACCCTCCACCCCCGCTCGACAGCTCGATGAGGGAAGTAGAGGGGGTCGTACCAACCCCCTGAAAAAAGAGGGGAGGGGGTCGTATGGACCTGGCCGAAATCGTCAACCAATGATGTATCCTGGTTTAAACTTGTTTGGTAGCGACCATCCCCTCCCTGCTTGACGGCCGCATTCGTATGGAAGGAGATGGAAATTTTTTTCACAAAAAGTATGAAGTTGGGAAGCCATTAAGTAGGATGGGGAAGGGGGAGGAGTCGTACCAGAGGGGAAAGCAAGGAGTCGTATTGCAAAAATTTTTCCTAGCGAGAAGAAGTGTTCTGTTCTTTCATACTGCTTATTTGTCCTTTTTTGTGACCCATTCCTATTAGTTCATATTGTAGCTTACCAGTGCGTGCATGGCAAATAAATATATAAATAGAACGAAAATTCTAATAATAAAATTCTAATAATAAAATAGTAATTCATTTTTGACCGAGATCAACCATGGTTTACTGTGGTTTTCAGAAGCTACTGGCTCGGAAAGCTGATGTTCATGCAACCAACGAACATGGAATGACTCCATTGCACTACGCCTGTTACTGGGGTTTTGAACAAATCGCAGAGGTGAGGATACTGTAATTTCTGTACTGGATTCAGCTTTGCGTTGTGCTGCCCTGTTGTTTATATTTTGAGTTCGTTTTGTTTATTGTTCTGTATAATCTCGCAAATTACCATTCTTCATGGAATTTGATACGAATTCTTTGGAATCCGAAGGAGGGGGTATGTGACAAGAGAATCGTCATTCGCAGCGCTGATGGGTGTCGCGTGCGACTTCGCGCCAGCGATGACGATGGTTCAGGTCATAGATGGCGACAACAGGCCAGAACCGAAAATAGTCATGAATGTCTATGATGACGGGGTCTACATGAAGTCCGGTGCTCCAATCGACAGGTTAACACGAGTTAAGAAAGCGCCGCACCCATCGCCGCGCGCGGCGGAGCGGCAAATTACGGTTCTCTTGCCATTCTCCCCCGAAGGAGTTCTTCGGAAGGACTATGGAATTCCATGATGACAATCAAACGTGCTCGTTTTTTCAGGACCTGATCATTTCTGGAGCGCAGATCGGAGCCTGCAACAAACGGGGGCAAACCCCAATGGATGTCTGCCAGGGACCGTCACGGCAAGCAATCGCCGGTAAGCGAAATTTTAAAAAATTGCGCAAACATGGGTTGATTATTATGTTTAGTCATCATAAGTTGGGCTATGCATGCACCAAACGTTCGTTAAAAAATCGTGAGCTCATTCAAATACTATTTTAGACTGCGGCTTAGTTCCTGGAGGTTGCCAACAGGGCACGTCTTGCTAATGCGAAAATTTTTTGCAAAAACGACCCTGCCTGAATTTCCTCCTTTCGTACGACCCCCCTCCTTGCTCCATCCCTCATCCTACCCACTAAATTCTTCTAACTCCCTGCCACTTTTCCAGGATTTTTTCCGAAAGTTCCTGCCCTTTTTCTCCAAAAAAACTTTTTCCAGAAACTGCTGGAGGGGAGTGGGGGATGTATATAGACAAGTTGGAACAAAAAAATGCTGAAAAAAGTCAATCCAAAAACATCCTCAAGGGCAAATATGACCCTTTCTTCACCCAGCCACCAAATATCCTCTTCGCTGGTGATCCCCAAAGTAAGACGTGTCCTGGTTGCCCTTGATTTACTTTTTTACTGGCTCTTACTGCCTTTTTACTGCCTAGGTACACTCCATACACGGAAGATGTGGAAAGCGTGATGGAAAATTTCATTTGAAAGGGCTAGCACTTGCGCGTTGGTGGGATACTGTCATTTTGAGCCAATCAGCTGTCGCGAACTGGAATATCGCCAAAAAAGCACTTCCTATTCCGGTTTCGAATGAAGTAAAAGTTCAAACCAACCCCCCCCCCCTATCTCCGGAATATGGAGTGTAAATTATGCCCCATTTACCCCTAGTTACAGTCTTGTTCGCTGCGGACGCTAGGGCGTTTGAGGGGACTGGCTTTGGCGCCGCGCCATCTCGTTCTCCACCAATTGTGGTCGCCTGCCAGCTTCCACTATTGGTGGAGAATGGGCTGGCGCCGCGCCAAACCCAGCTACCCGTGAAGCGCCCAGCGTTCGCGGCGAACAAGACCGTACGCGTAGCGGAAGTGGAATCTGTGACGCCTGAAACAATGCTAATCAATCTCACACCCTTTTTATTAAATTGTGTTATTTCTTTTTGAATTTTCAGAGCTGAGACCCTACTTGTTGTTTCAGACGATTGCCATGGAAAATGGCCAAAATCCGAACGAGCGGATACCCTTCAAGGATCAGACGTGGAAAGGCACAAAATCTCGAACCAGAGATGCGACTCTGCTTCCAGAATACCGAGTAAGACGTCCACATCGTGAATCTGATCACTAAGGTTATGCAGTCGCGCGTCCTGATGAAGTGATTCCATAATCTCTGGATTTTATCTTTTATCAGGTGGCTGGAATCTCACTCTGGCCCGCAACTTCTGGCGCGCGTAATGGCAAGGAACGAACATAGTGGCCCGTAACCTGGCCGGGCCAGAGTAGTAACGACCCGAATCTGCTCGTGATGTTATCCGAGCAGAGTTCCCTCGTCAGCGTGAGGATTGATTTCAATTCTCGTGCTTCTGACCAAGCAGAAAAATTACGAAGCGGTTGGTGGATTTCTGGGAGAGGTTCTCGCGGTCAACTTTCGTTCAAAGGCAGTTGGCACGATAATTCCCTAGGAGGATTGGGATTAATACGCCAGGCAGGACGGAATTCCGCGCTCCTGAGCAAGCGCTGCGCAGCGCCTTTTCCAAGTAAGGCATCTTATGAGGCCCATCAAGCTGCAACACACCGACCTAAACGCCACCGCGCCGCCCGCCCACAAATGGACGACCGTACCTGATGCTCGTATTGCTTCATTTGCTAAGTAAAATATGAAGCGAAGGGATTGATATGAAGCGGCCGCGGTGCTGCATGGATATATGAGTACAAAGTGCAGCCGTACCTACCTAGCGTTATTGGCAAGATGCCTACGGGAAACTCGTCCGAAATCGCTTTTCGAGTCATTAAGAACGAAGGCTTTTCTTCGCAGGTTTTTGACCGTTTCACTTCGTTTTTCCTCCATTTTCCCCCGCTATATAGCCCCCTGCTAGCATTTTAGGCAGAGTACTAAATTATCGCGCCATATGCCTTTGAAGGCACAGTCCACACTGTTTGTATGGGCGGAGATGGTCGGTCATCCTGCCTTAGAATGGTTGCACCAATGAGAAAGGCCCAGTTACAGCCTGGTCTTTTTATCAGCAATGATTGTACTTTCAAAGGCCAGTTGCGACTTCGATTCAGGAACCCGAAGATGGAACCTGGCCTGAACCTGCCTGAACCCAACATCGAAAGAAGTCGCTCAATTGATGGCACTCATTTATGAGAGCCCGAAAGGAGAGAATTAAGTGTGTTGTTGTTTGTGTCCAAATGTGACCGCATAGGAAGAACGTGCACGTATTGTAATGTTCCTAGAACACTGAGGATACGCTGTGCGCTCACCCTCGCAGATCCTGGCCCTTGCTATCTGCCTGGTGTACAAACCCGCATGGAGCTTTTCTGGCTCGTCCTACCCTTTAGCCTCATTTCACTCTCGAAAGTGCGCCGAAATGAGGCCGAAAGGTAGGACTAGCCAGATG